CCATTAAACATCTCTGTGATTAGTGAGGCGCACACAGCCAGCCTAATTATCCAATGCCACGGCTAAACCCACATCAAGATTGCTAACAATTTGTTTCTTACACTACAATTATGTTCTTTGCGATAGCAAAAAGCTATGATTAAAGGGGCAATTTCTTTGTGCGTGTGCATATATGAATGAGTGTGTTTAGTGGTCAGGTATATATAGGCTTGATAAGAAATGTGTCTTCACTATACTTTTTCAAAGATATCCACATTAGTTACAGCCCTGCTGTCCACCTCTTTCACTGTTAAGTGCCTATATGTAAAAAAAAAAAAAAAGTTAATAATTTTCAGAGCTGACTTGTCCAGGGTGTCGCCCAGTGTCTGCTCGGATTGGCTCCAGCCCCCTGCGACCCTCATTGGGATAAGTGGTATAGATAATGGATGGATGGATTTTCAGAACGCGTTGAAGTCATTATTTGCTATGCATTGCACAGATTTAATTTTCTTTCTTAGGACTCACAGTACACACACACAGTATAGAGAAATCCACCTTCATTATGTATTTCACTGTTAATAGAGCTGCTCACAGTTTGAAAACCACAGCAGCACAGAAAAGACACAGACAAACTGGGTCAGATGACTGTGGGTGTGATTTCATGATGTCAGTAGAGAGAGGTGAGATGCATGAAGCAGTGTGAGACATGAGAAAATCCAAGAATGAGTTTGTGTTGCTCTGTGGAGAGCCTGTCTGATAAAATGTGGATACATGTGGATATAGTCATAACTGCAGAGGAACAGTCAGTGTTTCCATATCCTCATGTTAGAACATTAAGGAGGTCCCTGTGTGTGTAGGTGGCGGGGGGTGGATTTTGCTCTACCAGCAGGGGGCAGTGGAGCTGCAGCTGTGTGACTTTGTGTTTAAGTGTGTGTGAGAGAGAGAGAGAAACAGAGAGGCTTATTTCCTCTGCTGAGTTTCCCCTTCACCTCCTCACTCATGTGCTGTCAGTGTACAACCAGCATGCTGTAGTGACATTTGAAATGAACATTAGCGGGCCACTGATCATGGTACATGAACATCCTTGTTGGTTCTCTTGAGTGTGCCCCTCTCAAACTCCCACCCAATCTTTTGTATCTTGTGTGCAAAGGCAAAATATCTGTATCATGACAAACAGCATCACCTGAACAAAGTATGAGCAGCTTCTTTCACTTCCTTTCTTTTGTCTCTCTCTCTTCCATTTCTTTCCTTTTGTTCGTTTGGGCTGAACTCAAATTCAAAAAGCTGACATGATCCTAATGTTTGTCACACAGAGGTCTGGTCACCCTGAAATCCCCCTCAAATAATTTCCTCACCTGTCCACACAACTCCAGTTTCCTAAATGTTGGAGGTTGAACACCAGTCAGGGGTCATTTTCTCTGTATATGGATGACATGCTAATCAATCATGCTGGCCATGCTGGCCAATCCAGTAACAGCCTCTAGCACACAGCTAGCTGGCAGTAACCAGTTCATAGAAACCTGAAGGGTGCATGTGTTTGTGTGTCTAGCAGTTGTCCCTGAGTGGTAACACTATAATACTACAAGAGTGTGGATATGTCTGTGTGTGTGTGAGGTTGTGTATGTCCACACATTAATGTAAGGTATTGTGTTAATGGTCCCTTGTTGAATCGGTCAGACTCTGCTATGAAACTATTCATTATATGGAAGTACAGTGGACATATTATGTAGTCTGGGCTTCCTCTCATATCTGGAGGTTACTGGGCTCTTGCCACCCATTAAATATGTTTTGGTAAACCTCTGCCTCTGTGTCTCTCCCTTCCTCATTTTTTTCCTCTCTGCCAGTCCTCATCATTCATTACATCTCTCTCTAACAAAAATAAACTTAATAATTTCAGTTAATGAAGTCTGGGCACTGTACACTCCATTCCATGGTGTGGTTGATTTTTAGCCTTTCATCACAGTATTGTTTAGTTTGTTCAGTTGTTTAGGAAGAGACGGTTTGTATGCACATCCTGTGGAGGGCCTGTAGTTGCAGCTAAATTTAGCCAAAATTATTATTCTTGTCTTGCAGTATGGTTATCAAACATCCAAAAGACAAGCAGCTGTTCTGAATATTGTTAATCCTGTTTATTAAATTTTGCAGTTTGGTTGCTCTGTGAGTTCATGCATGTAAATATGCACATATATTCACATGTGCACAATAACACACAGGTTTATACACAAACTGAGAAGATTAAGTTCTTTGCTGGGAAGAAGGAGAGAGAGGTGCAGGCAGGTGGAGAAGGATTGATGGGTAGCAGGGAGGTATGGGCAAGGTGATTAAAAACTCAAGCTACAGATGTTTCTGGAACACTTCAAAGTGGTGCACCTGCCAATGCCAGCTACGGGCATGATGCATTATTGAGATGGCGCCCACCTGGCGCTGACATCACTTTCCCCGTCCACCTGGCCCTGTGCAGTCACGTGGGTGACACTTTGGGTCGCACCTCCCTGCACAAACCCGGCTCCTGGTGCGATGAAGGGCATCGGGGAGAAAATGCACAAATGGCCAACACAGACCTCAAAGGCACTAAACTTGGACATGTGCAGGTTGTAAACTTGGCTGGAAAGTGCAGTGTAAGGAAATGTTCTTGCGAAGCACTGCAGTGCATTTCCTCTCTTATTTTGCTCGTATGTTAAGATGTTGCTATAGGTGTGGATATTTCTCCCCTGCCCACAGGATTTGCCTCGTGTGCTGAGGGAAAATAAATAGAAATATGATGATGCACAACAACAGTTAACTTTTTTTAATCAAATAAATTACTGAAATGCGAGGATAATTCAGCAGAGCCTGCAGTGTTTAAACCTTTAAGATGAAAGCTTAGGGATCTTGGAGTAGCCTCTAGTGTGATGCATTTCTTTCTGCTTAATGTTTTAGCAGCCCCCCCTTAACCTTATATTCTGACCTTGTAGGAATATTTTGATGTCACATAGTGTGTTTTGAGTGTGCATGAATATCTCCGTGTGTTTCTCCTGCATGTGTCCCACGACACCTGTACTATCTCAGGGTGTGAGGAACAGACTGAGGCTGGACTAACAGTCACAGGTCTCAGACCAGTGGGGTGTGAAATGAAACAGAGGGCCAACACAGTCTCCCTCTGCTGTACACACACACACACACACACACACACACTTAATCATACTGTGTGGTGTCTGTGTGTGCATGTGTGGCCTAGTACTCACGTTTTGGGGACATAAATCTGTTTACACAGTCACACTGTGGGGACTCGGCGTCCTTATGAAGACGAGAAGCAAGTCCCCAAATATAAATCATTACATTACAGAGTGATGACCTTGTTTAAAATTATGGTGAGATTATGGTTATCCAGGTAGTGGTTATGGTTAAGGCTGGGTTAGGTCTCCAGGAAATTCATGTAAGTCAATGTAATGTCCCCTGAAGTGATGGAAACCCAATGTGTGTGTGTGTGTTTGAAAGTTGAGGATAAAAGAAAGACAACAATGACAAAGGATACAGAGAAAAAGAAGAAAGCGGGAGCAGAGACAAGAATCTTATCTATGCTTCTTATATACTAGTTCTTGGATGCAACACTAGCACCTCAGTGAATAAAGCCAGCCATATTTTTAACTGCTGTTACACTTTCTGGTGAAAGGTGGTGTTTGAGGTATGTTGGTTTAGCTTCAGCAGTTCAGTTTAGTCCAGTCTTTGCTGTTCCCAAGGCTGGATCAACAACTGGTCAAAGTGGGCATCTGCCCCAGCACCTTAGACCCCACTGGGTCCCAAAAGCTCTGGGTTCACTGCATGTCAGCTGGTTTTGGTAATTTGATAAACAGCGTTGGGGAGTCGTGAACTACATAGAATTGAACTAGTGGTTTAGCTACTTTTGAAGTATCCTGCTGGTAGTTCAATTACATTCATAGCTGTGTAGTGACTGAAGTAGTTAAATTACATTTTTGCCATTTTGTGCATAGTTAACTACTGCAACTACAAATGATTTTGGTTCATAAAAGGAAAGGAATGGCTTTTTATTTTTAGTTTACCATTGCTTCTCTACCTTAACTGTCTCTTGAATAAGAACTTTGAGAGATTCCTCATGCGTCTTATAAACAAGAGATTCTGCTCTGAGAAGTAATTGTAAAAGTTAAGCCCATTTAGACCAGTGTTCAAGCTGTTCATATAGTCTAAAAGGTGGAGGTTCAAGACTGTTGTTAAGTCAGATGTTGCAATACTGACAAGTAACACATTATTATATTATAGTTTTGTATCATATCTACATTGTCAGTTTTATTGTTCTTTACAAAATATTTTGAACTACTCTTTTTAAGTAACTTTAGTATACCAGACTACATTTCCCTCTAGAGCAGCTTTGCTGTAGTTTAATGTCTTCCAGTTAAACAACTGATAGATTGCAAAGTTTCATTTTTAAAGTAGTTTCCCCAACACTGTCAATAAACTGCAAGTTTGGTAGGAAATTTACGCTGCTTAAGTACAGGGAAACCTGTGTCAAAATATACATTAAAGAGTTTTTCTTAACCTGTTTCATACTGAGCTCACATTATATATATTCTCAAACAAATTTGCATCTAAAAGGATGAATGCACAAGCAAGACTTTGTGAGATCTCAACTAGTTGAGGCAACAATGGTGCAATATTCAACTTATGTAGACACTGGAAACACATACACTGAGAGTGGACTTTTCAGTGAAGTAGGAGACTCGGTGTCCATTAAACAGTTTGAAATGAACAATATTTGCAAAGCTATTTTCATATGTCTTAAAACACATCAGGAGTCAACATCTTAATAGTGGCTGACCCTGAAGTGGTGAGAAACTGACAACAAAACTATTTATATTTTCAAAAAGATCTTCCATTGATTATATATTGATTATATATGTGTATGTGGGCTTTAACTGTCATGATTACAGTCTCTGGCAAAAGTAAAGCAGTTCGAGCAACAAGAAGCGGGCGGCAACATAAAGCGTGTTCGCTTCTATGATTGGTTTCCTCCGCTGTCAATCATCCCTGACGGCTCCGCAGCACCTTCCACAGACGCACAGCGGCAGCGCAGCTTCCTTCGACAATGATATTCAAAGCACTTGCAGCTCGTCTGCAGCGATAAGAGAAAAGCGGAGAGAAAGAGAGAGCCTCACCTCCTCAAAGAGCGAGTGAGGCAGGGAAAAAGAGACGGAAAGCGATAGAGGAAGAAGAAGAAGAAGTGAAGAGGTTGTGGAGTAATTAAAAAAAAAACAGTCGTGGTTTGGACCTCCAGAGCGGAGTGTTTAATTGTCTACGTTTTTTTTTTATTTATTATTATAAAGTGTTTAATTTTCACGCAGCTTCGACATGTCGTCGTCCGGGAAAGACAACAGCGGTGCGCAACATGCCAATTACGTGGGACCTTATCGTTTGGAGAAGACACTCGGGAAAGGACAGACAGGTTAGTTGGGACATCTTTGTTATTGCATTCCCTTTAATTGCACAATTTATTTTCGGGTCGTTCCGCGGTGAGTTGAAATTTGGCCGGCTGGTTGTCTGCAGGTGATACGTAACTGGCCGCTTAGTTACAAACACCTGCCCAACCATGTGAGGAAATGTTGGGGTCGTCATTTCGCAGGTGAGCTGACATAATCACTAATCACACAGTGGGACGAGGGAGGCATTTAGATGATGTTACGTTGGTTTGTTGGCTGTGCGTCGGCGTTTGACTGGGTGTGTGTGCACGTATCCAGGAGCAGAGCAGCATGGAGAAGCCAAAATGCTGGCTGTGTGCTGGGTTACGAAAATGAACTTTTTGTGTCCTGTCTTTCCTGTTGGGGTGTGCGTGGGCGCGCGCGGGCGCCCGCCCGTGTCCTGTGATTGGAACACTACGCCGTTAATCCTGATTTGCCAGATACATTGATCTGTTCTTAGTCCGCAGGCAGGCTGGGAGGGTGAAAGGCGTTTCTCCCACAGGCTCTGATTGCAATACATGGGTTTCCACCGATGTGGAGCACAAGGTCCCACCTTGACAGATTACTCCATGAGCTGCTCACAGAGCTGGAGCCACACTGGTCTATATTCACATACCCCAGGGGATATAACTGGGCTACCCTGAGTGAGGAGCACATGCTTTATCTCAGCATACACAGCAGTGACGCTGCAGTTTGTTAAAGTTGCATAGCTCTTGAACAATTTATTGTAGAAGAAGGCTTCATTTCTGTGCCATGCTGTGTAGGTTATGCATGTATGTTGTTTGTATAGGAGTACTAATAGAGTATTTCAATGCTGTTGTCAGCTGGGAAAACTGTGGAGGAAGAATCCTCTATGGTCAAGAAGGCTACATGCAGCAAGTGGAGCCATGTGAAGGAGAGGCAGGCACAGCCCTGTGTAGGCAGAGATGGCAGGAATGATGCAGCACGCTCAGTAAGATCACCACCCTTTAAAAGAGAGAGAGTTGGACTCTTTTCCCCTCTCTCCTCTTCTCTGCTGAGAGATTTTCCTCCCATCTGGTGTCTAAAACGGCTACAATAGGCATTACTTCCCCTACCTGCTCCAGCTGGTCACGCTGAGCAGTCCTGTGTGCGTGTAAATGTTTGTGTGTTCTCTCAGCATGCTATCTTGAAAACATCTCCTGGTTACTTGACTCACCTGGCTAGTCCTCAATGTTTGTTAAAAGAGTTTGTCACTTTGCCTTTCCATGATGTCAGTGCATGTGCACTGATTTACTGTGAAGCACATTGAAGTACATGTTTCCCACCAGAGTTCAGTTCCCAAACATTTTGCATCCATAGGTTCAGTTTACCAGGTCTGCAGTGTGATGACTGGAGTATGATCTAACAATTAAAGTTAATGTAGTAGGTATGCTATGTACCTGCTGGTTTTTCATCACAAATGCAGTATTAAAAACATTTCCCTGCAGCACATATTTAATCATTTGTGTTTACCGGAGGATCTCTCGCTTACTGCCAGACTCAGCTTTCTGTCAGATAGCTTTCAGGAGTGTCTAATGGCTGTTTATGCTGGTATAGAGCTGGCACATGGTCTTCTGTGCACAGACGTTTAATGACATGGTGTCTCTGAGATTATCCACAGCTCAGGATGTGTTCACGTGAGTGCTGAGGCAGAGTTGGGTGTGTTTTATTTTTTTCTAAATCCAAGTCAGACCCACAGAAAACATATGTCCATGAGCTCCAGGTCAATGTGCATCACAGTTTGTGTCAGACTTTCTTGGTCCTCATATGTCAGGCTATTTTGACTTTTGATTTGGATTCTCTGTGTATTTCAAATGGACAGACATTTGTAATTAAATCACCCATTAATTTTGAATGCTTTCGGTCTGGGTTTTCAATTACATTTTTGTGTTTCAAATATACAGCAATAACAGGGCCCAGCGTTATGTGTGTGTTCCGTGTTAGAAACTTCATTTGGTCACTGGTGTCTCTGTAGTTAGCCCGTCGCCAAACCTATTCGGATTAATGACAGCGCATTATATCCCATTTGCCCCTTAACCATTTGTTAATCTCTCAGATCTCTTTCCCAGGCCCTATGGAACGGGTTGGCCTGGCAACATGTGAGCCCACAATGGGTCGAGCTCGATCATGAGTGGCAGCTGGGACCATCCAAACGGCTAAATCCCCCGTGAGCTTTCTCAGGCTACTTTTGGTTGGTATTAGTAGAGGGGAGAAAGCGGAAGGCCTCTGGTTGATCTGGCTGTCCTGCTCAGAGGAGTGGTGGTGCTTCATGTTCATTAAGTGATTAGACCTTGTCCTGACACTCACATACGCACACATGGCTGCCACAGTGGTTCTGGTTTGGCTTCTGATCTAAACCGGCGCAGAGGTAGCACTGGGTTGGTTCACTCTAGCATAGAAACTTAGCACCTCCATTTTACTGTTCAAATTAATTTGTTTAGCACTGGCACCATGTAGAGTATAAACAGTGGGATGTAGGGTCTTTTTTTTTTTCTCTAGTCGGAACAAATTGACAAATCATTTGTACAATGTACTCCAGACTTTGTCTTTGTCACCCCTTATCTTTCTTTACTTGTTTTCTTTAAGTTTGATTGGTTTCTCTCCAGTTAGACCATGTGTGCAATCCCTGGGGGCTACAGATATAAAGTGTTTGCATGGCTGGTTACTGACTAGGTCTGAAGCCACAGAAGCATAGAGGCCATTTTCCAACACAAAGGCAGAGTTATTGTGCTTGAGTGGTTCATATAGGTCCTGTACTCCATATGTGTCAACACCTGAGTCTTAGCTTTTTCCTCAAAACTCTTCCACACAGTGAAATTGCCTTTCAGACTCTCTTTCTATGAATTGGTCCCATGTGTTGCTGCTATGCAGTAGTAACTTGATAACTGATCAAACAATGATTATAATTCAGACCTCCATTTGAATGTCTCCACCACAGCAGGGTTTGGAGTAACAGCCTTCTTGTTTTTCAGAATCTTGAAGCTTTGCTTGACAAAGCCGAAGATTGTGAATTTGTGTTTTTGCCAGTGCAGTGACTTAAGACAGGCTGAATCAACACTCTGTTCCACTAATGCGTCATAAAACACCACCGTACTTTTCCTGAAGGCTGTTGATTAGTGTAATAGAGGCCTATTGTCTGGAAAACACTGCCAGTTAATCCAGGAAAAGTCTCTGCTTTTTTTTTTGCAAGACTTGGATATTGACAGGCTAAGAGTTAGAGGTTGATGTTTAGGCTCCTTGATTCTCTGATTGATGTTTAGAGAGCAAAAACATCCCTGCTTTAGGGGCTCCCATATTGACTGTTCATCTGACAAAACACTGCCTGTGATGTTGTCTTACTACCCGTTTTGGTCAGAGAATTCTTGTTCTGGGTTCACCAGACTCACCAGACAAAATCCATATCATGTTTCCATATCATCAAGGTCACTGGTCAGTTTCTAACTCTTAGCATGGGTTTCTCTATTGCAACATGAGGTTGTATTTGTGTATGAGAGAGTTGTTTAGCTCTCATTTGTCTTTCTTTCCATTTATTTACACATGCGCTGATTAAGCAGGCTGTTCTGGGTGTTTGGTACATTGCACTGAAACGTAGAACCGTTAACTCAGCATTGATTGATAGCTGGTGAGCCAGGGATGGGTGATTCAGATCAGTTGGTACTCTCAAAGATTTCCTGTCGTCTGGAAGAGATCCATACTGTTTCACAGCACATGATATTCCTGATGAAGACAAGTTGGGAGGGAATGCTCAGTTGATGCTGTTAATGAGAAACCACTTGGCATTATCCACACAAAGCAAATGCATCTGTTGCTTGTGAGAGGCACACATGCTCAAACTGTGAGTGACCAGGATGTAGCCTTTCAAATAATATTGAAATCAATGTTTAGCTCACGGGTGTCTATCTTCACTGTGTTCTCAGGATTTTACCCAGAAGAAGCTGCTTTGACCTAAAATTGGCCAGTGTGTGAAATAAATGAAAGCCTGCTATAACAGACCTGTGTTTCAGCAGGCCATGTTGGAGAAGTCCTGACCTAATGGCTGTGCTGTGCCGGGTAGCACCCTGTGTTAGCAAGCTGGATCAGAGCTGAGGAGCAGGCAGCAAAGCCTGCATTGTCTCAGCTGTTTGATTGTCTGGCTGAAGCCAAAGCCCTGCTCCCTCAGCCCTGAAATGTGTCTTGAATGGCAAGAAGCTGGTGTGTGTGATTTTAATGAAACAATGCATGTGTCACTTGTAGTGGAAAGGTTAATAATCTGCTGATTATTTTCTTGAGAATTAGTTTTGTGTTATTCATAGTATATCACAAACTGCAGGAACAAGCCAATTTTGACTTTGCAGCTTCAAAGGTATTCTTCAAATGTCTTGTTTTGTCCAAATAACAAATCCAAAGATATTAAGTTTATTATAATGTATGAGGAAGAAAAGCACCAATTCCTCATATTAAAGAAGGTGCAACTAGAAAATATTGCCAATTTCTGCTTCAAAGTGGTTGGCAGGTAATTTTCTATCAGTCAATCGAATAATGGTTACAGCCCTAGGTTAGTGAAAGGCTAATGGAAAAGTGTGCTGAACACAATGAGGGAATATGTTTTGAAGAATGTTTTCTCTTTAACAGAGGAGCAGTGAAGCTGTTCTGGAGACACTTTACTAAAAAGTGTATTGTATGTTCACTTTGTTAGTTTTTCCTTTACCTTGACACCCATCTGTATACTACAGTATGTGCCTATAGGCACCGTTGCATCAGTTGAAATCATTTCTAGGCACCGCTATGGGCACATGCACAGAAACTATGCCTTAAGCAATTTGAATTTAGTCAGACTTGGCCTGTAGTCTTTTCACTGTCTCTGACTTTGGCTGAGGTTCTATAATGGTGATAGTCTTTGTCATTTAGAGCACTTCTCCTTTCTGTCCCTCTCTGTACAAAAAAAAGTCAAGATTCATACGGGGATTCAGCCATGTGGTAAATCAGACAAGACCTCAGTGGAATTGCATCGATTGGGAGGAATGAATGTAGCCAACAATTTTCAGAGATTAATGACGAGGAAAGGGGTGGAGAACTGGGGTCAGGTGGGGGTGGGGGTGGCATGAAGGCGAGGAGGAGGAGGAGGAGCAAAAAAGGGAATAAAAACCTTGAACTGAGAGAACACAAAGCAGTCTTGAATGTTCTG